TATATGTATGTCTTATTTGTATCTGTCTGGAATACCACTGGTGGTTCATATACCACATTTTCAGAATTGCTGCTTTAGGATTAACCCTGCCACTTTTTCTTTTTTTTGTAGAGACCGAGTCTCACTTTATCACCTACAGTAAGAGTGCCGTGGCATCACACAGCTCGCAGCAACCTCCAACTCCTGGGCTTAAGCGATTTTCCTGCCTTGGCCTCCCAAGCAGCTGAGATTACAGGTGCCTGCCACAACGCCTGGCTATATTTTTTTGTGTGTGTGCAGTTTGGCCAGGCCCGGGTTTGAACCCGCCATCCTCAGTATATGGGGCTGGTGCTCTACCCACTGAGCCACAGGCACCGCCCTATCCCTGCCACTTTAAACTACTCATCTCTTGACTTCAGATTCTAGAATGTAATCTGGCTATGTAAGCACAGACAGATCTGAGAGTTGTAAACAGCCCCTTTCACATGAAAATGAGCTGTTAGAAATGTTTAAGCAAAAGTTACTAATAAATCATGTCTCCTAATTTCATTTCAAGTCATGATGCCTGAAACAGCTCCATCTGTCTTTTGTATTAGTGGAGATATTTTCACAACACTGATCCAAACCCACTTGTCCTTTGGTTCATATTGACAAGTTTTAGGGACATTGTGTACAGCTGCCATAGATTTAGTGAAGTATATACTCATGACAAATGAAGGTAAAATACAAGATTAATCCTAAATTCCCATAGAATCTAAAGAATGTATACCCCCAAAGAGAAGTACAAGTAACTTGACATTGGACTCAAAATAAAACAAAGAGCCCAATAACACTTAACAGAGTGCTAGGCATGAAGCAAAACATGTTAATCTGGTCTCTCTGACTAACAACAAGAGCTTTTTTTTTGGCTGGGCCTGGATTTGGCTGGGCCTGGATTTGAACCCGCCACCTCCAGCATATGGGGCTGGTGCCCTATCCTCTTGAGCCACAGGCGCTGCCCATCAAGAGCTTTAAGAACTTAAGATATTACAGAAATTTCTGAGGAATCCCAGTCCATGCTTCTGTTAAAGCAATACAAAATTTTCTAAAGGTATTAACAAGTACTCAAGGATAAATACATTAATGAAAAGTTTCTCAGGAAGTGGGTTTTGGAAATAGTTATGGTACATAGAAATGATGGACAACTTAAAAACAGTTGCTGGTTACAGTGTAGAAGGTCAGTAGTGCACTATTACCGAGATGTTTTAATGACTATCTATCTACCTAACTGAGCTTTTGAGACTAGCTTTATGTTAGAAGGAGAACAAAAAACTTTTAAAATGACAGGCACAGCACCTTTATTCAATTATGACACAAACAATTTTGTAAGATTTAAGAGGTATAACAGGAGAAATTTTAGCTGCTAAAACATAAATTATAAACCGTGAGAATTCTTCTTCTAATCTTTTACCTGAAGCAGTGTGGGAGGCCATGGTGTGTGTTTAAGATGCCTTACTTGGGAGATATGGCGCCCTAGACTCCGATGGACACTGCAGCACTCATCACATATAAAAGTTCCCCTGTTTACTGATGCCCAGGAAGGATCTGGAAAGAGAATGAAATCTCAGTGGCAAGGATACCGGTTGTTATACTGCCAGATGGCAAAAGAAGACTGAGGTTTAGGTTTTCAGAAAAACAAGACATTTTTGTTGTTTAGTTGACATTTTATTGTCAGCCTATCAAGCTGGTGATGTTGTCTGATGATACTACCTACCTTGGCTGATTAGGTACAATGTTAACCAACACTAAAAATGTGACTTACAGCTGTGAATAAACCAGTCCTGGTTCAGGGCCAATTTGTAGCCCTAATGTGGATCTACCATCTCAGACACATGCTTTATATTCAACGAATTGAGAGGGTACAGGTGAATCATTTCAAATTCATCTCCACAAACAGCAAGATAAATTTTGACAGTGAATTATCCACTTAGCATTATCTGAAGTAAATGGTGAAAACTGCTACCCAAGTCCAGGGCTACAAATCAACATGGCTGTATGTTGAGTAGAAAGTGGCAAGTGACAACTAAAAAACTGCTCAGGTGCCATGGCTTTGAGGACCGGGAAAACTGGCCTCTTCTACCAGGAAATGTTCTATGATATCCATTAATTTTTTTTTTAGAGACAGAGTCTCACTTTATTGCCCTTGGTAAAGTGCCATAATGTCACAGCTCACAGCAAACCTCCAACTCCTGGGCTTAGGATTCTCCTGCCTCAGCCTCCTGGGTAGCTGAGACTACAGGTGCCTGCCACAACACCCGGCTATTTTTTTGTTGCAGTTTGGCCAGGGCCGGGTTCAAACCTACCACCCTCAGTATATGGGGCTGGCACCCTACTCACGGAGCCACAGGTGCCGCCCCCATTAATTGTTTTTGAAAATTATTAAGTCCAGGCTCAGCACCTGTAGCACAGTGGGTAGGGTGCCAGCCACATACACCAAAGTGGTGGGTTTGAATCCTGCCCAGGCCTGCTAAACAACAATGACAACTACAACAAAAAATAGCCAGGTGTAGCTCAGTGCCTGTAGCTCAAGTGGCTACGGTGCCAGCTCACATACACCAGAGCTGGCGGGTTCAAATCCAGCCCAGGCCTGCCAAACAACAACAACTACAACCAAAAGATTGCCGGGCATTGTGGTGGGTGCCTGTAGTCCCAGCTACTTGGGAGGCTGAGGCAAGAGAACTGCTTAAGCCCAGGAGTTGGAGGTTGCTGTGAGCTGTGACACCACGGCACTTTCCCCAGGGTGACAGCTTGAGGTTCTGTCTCAAAAAAAAAAAA